ACCTTCAAAACTTCTTTGTTTTAACTCCAAAATTTAAGTTCTTTATATGGTTGGAAAGCTCATTAAAATACCTTTCTAAAAATAATACAAATTTTACTACATAATTATTAATGTATAGTAAACAGTAAATTATCTAAAAATGTCATTAAAGACGACATAAGATTTCAAACCTTCACATATAAAATTCATAATTTTTTTTTATCATGTAATAGCATATTTAAGCATGTATTACAACAAAGAATTTGATTTTATGGCTCTAATACCAATGAAGTAATTCACGGTATACTTTAATATGAATTTCGGGTCAAGATACTTACTTGAAATGATGAATTCCAAGATCTTTTGAATGGTTGAATCACCTTACTTTCTAAAACTCCAAATCCCCCTTGCAGTCTAATGGTCCTAATTCCGACCACAATGGAGAAAAATTATTAGCCACAACCTAAGTGCCAATTTTTGTGAGTTTTCATGCCAAAATAGTGGTTCTAAGTGCCTTTCAATTTTGGTGATCTTTTTCATACGAATTTTCACCATCTTATTTCCATATTTTTTCTCTCCATTGCTAGACTAAAAATTGGAGATTTTATGGGAGGAGTTATGAAAGGTTATGGGGAGTTGTGGATTTGAATTCCAAATTCAAATCACTCCCTCCAACCCTTTTGATGTTTTGTGGATTGGGTTACTCCACGTGGGCGACTCATGATCCATATTTTCTAACAATTTATTATCTTTTTGTACTGAAGTTTCCAATTTTTTCACCATCTGTGATTTTCTCTGTGTTTACCCTGCGAATTTCTTGGTGCTATTGAGCACTAAGAATTTTTATTGTAACGAACTGTAATTTCTACAAAGTGGTGCTGCAATAATTCAGGGAACAATAGAACTCAGTGTTCTGTGTCAATTTTTATAGTGGCTGGTCTATGTTGTTTTCTATTTACTGTGAGCATGGCAGAAAAGTGGGTTTGTTTTCTACGTTGATGTAGAGAAAGCAATGTATCATGTTGCGTATGTTGCTGTAGAGGTAGAAAACAAAAGTAGTTGGGGTTGATTCAACTAGAAAACAAAAAAGGGTGGAAATCATGTGTTTGAGGTTGAGCACTTAGTTTCTGACAAGACTTGTGCAATTTTCAAAATTTTAATTGAAAATGCTCAAAATGTCAAAAATGCGTTTTGAGTTTTATGTTGTAAGTTTAACCTTGTTTTCAAAAATGCATTTTTAGAAATTTTAGACCAAATACATTTTCAATATTCTGCAAAATTGAAAACAACTTGAAAATAGCAAACAAAACATACCCATAGTTTTTGATCATTTTTGAAAAGGACAAAATAATAACTGTATATTTTTTCACCTAACATAATAAATATAAAAATACAAAAAGGAATAAAATAAAATATTCTTCATCTTCTTCCACAACAAGTTTTCCCCACCCAACCCCACTACAAATTTTGCAAGAAAGTTCCCGGGGACTTTTCCCCCACCCCACCAAATGGGTAATCGATCAAGAAAGTGTTGATTCGAAACATGACGGTATGGAAACGTGCGATAAGCCAATGGCCAATTTATATATGGTCGCGTTTTATGAAAGTATAATGATGAACAATATAGTTGATCAAACTATTGTTGAACAAATTAAACAGTATAACAAATGATATTTTAATTTACTCTTTTTATAATTTTATTGATCTAATCTAATCAAACATATTAAATATATCAATAAAATTTAAATTATGAGAAACTTGAAAACAATTTGAAAAAATAGTATTCGAGATGAAAAGGGGAAAACGGAAAACGGGGAATTTTCTTTTTCAGGGATTCTATATCAATTTATCGTTTAATCATTGTGTAAAATGTTTTATTTAGGATCAATTTGCATTAAAAGTTGGTCCGTTGGTGTACGATTTTCTTGATTTTTACGGGAGATAATTTGGCGGGCTTATATCCTTTTGAATTTTGTCCAAACCTATATTTTGAAAGAACCCTGCTATAGTTACCGGGGGGGGGGGGGGGGGGTTTGTCAAACCCCCCGGTACATTTATCATTGCCGATTTTGAAAGGCGTAACACAACATAAGGCGCGTCAATTTTGTTTCATAGAGATCTTGCAGTCTTGGATTGGCCTAATCCGTTAATTTGCCATAATATTATTTATTCGAATAATAAAGCCTACAGCTTTAGTCCCACACCTAAAATTGAAAATTTCCATCATATTTCAAACCTAAGTCATCTCCTCTCATCCACTTTCACGACAACAATAGCGATTTTCTCGTCCTAATTGTATTTCATTACAAGATTCCTAATTCATTATAAATTTAGTTTTTAATGGGTTTAATTACAGTAGATAATACCTATTTATGTGATATTACATTTTTCTAATACTTTAGAAAGCATATCGAGTTGTAAGTTGCGTTACATTACATTTTCACAAGGTAATTTTTTTTTTTTTTTTTTGTCACACCGTGTGTTACATTTTCGTAATAATTATGGTAAATTCTTTGTACTTTATTTAACATGCACGTAATATGGTTATTCTATGTGCAGGAGACGGTTGAGGAGGAGACATAATAAGAATTAGTAACAACCAATCGATAAATTCAAATTCAATGCAACATTACCATCAATGTAATATTACAGCGAACTTAATTTCGCATTTGTTTGGAAGGTGTTTAAATTATAAACACTCTTGATAAAACTTACTTTTTATCCACAGATCAAATGCAACGCACTTATTCACCACTTATTCCCATACGTTTAATACGATCAATCACGGTCAATGTAGGTGGTGAAGTGGTAGTGATGGCAAGTAGTATTTCGGCGAGATCGAGGACAAAGCAAAGATTTAAGTTGCAGAAGAGCTTGCTAGCTAGCTTTTGGGGATCGACGGATCAAGAACAACCAGGAGATCTGATATCGATGCTTTCTATCTCGTCTCACCAATACTATAACATGGAGAAGGTGGTAGTTGTGGCGGTAGTGGTTGGTGTGGGTTATCTGGTGGTTTTGGACTAAGGTATGGTGGAGCAATATAGGTGGAGGTGGTGTTTATGGTATAGGTTGGTTTGTGGTGCAAGCAGTTGTGATGATGGTGGTGCATTATAGGTGGTGAAGGCAATGGTGCATTGTAGGTTGTGGCTGTGGCGGTTATGGTGATGGTGTGGTGGTGGTGATGGTGTTGATGGTGTCGACTATGGCTATGGAGTGGGACGATGTGATCAATTATTTCAAGTTGTAACCAATAAGTATTATGTGACATGTAAAAAAAATTATTTGTGATCAATTAATTTGTGACAAATAAATAATGTGTGGCCTAAAATTTTGATAAGTTTTGACTAATAATTTAATAATTTGAGACTATGAAGTAAGTTGTGACTTATAAAATTTGTGCTGTCTGACTAATAACTAATGTGACCTATTAATTTGATAAATTTGTGATCGATAAATAAGTTGTGGCATACCAAATTTATGATTTGTGATCGAGAAATAAATTGTAATCTACAAATTTTTTGAATTGTGAAAGAGAATTAATTTGCCAGCTATAAAATCTTTGAATTATGATTGAGAAAAAAATTATAACCAATTAATTCTGATCAAATTATATGAAATTGTGACATTTATATATTTAATTAATGAAATATATATTGAATTAATTATTTTATAAATAAAATTTAATAATATATGATTTTTGAAGTTTTAAATCTTGTTTCTTAGTTTTGAAATGTGTCATAGTTAAACTCTTGTCANCCAAATGGGGGCTTAGGCTCCTTCACTTTCTAGCCCAGGTACTACGAGCCCTCTGTCTCACGTATCTAACTGCTCGTGACGTCGACTTTTTTACCCTAGGCAAAATAGACAACAAATGGAAACATGTATAACTTATTGTGGGAAAATCAAATTGCAATATGTAAAGTGTGATGCTATGAACTCTGGTCTAAGTTGCTGAAGTTCAATATGGTCAAGTTCTCGGGTTAGAAAGAAATTAATAGATCTTTGGGCCTTGATTGTTAAGGAATAGAGACTTTACAAATAAAGTTCAAGAGGTTCGAGACCTCTTCAAGGTATAATATCAGGAATGCTCTGGTAAGAAAGAAATAGATGAATCTTTCTGGGACTCAATTCGATTATATTTTTAATGGTATATCATTTTTCTTGTAAAAATTGAAAGTACTATTTTTTCTCATTTTCTTTCTAGTTTCAATCACGTTCAAAAAGTTAATCCTAAAACACGAAATTGAACCGAAATCATTAATATTCAGCATCAAAAGGCTCAATATACTAATAAAAGATTACACTTATCAGAGTGACACGATTACTATTGAATAGAAGTTCGATGATCCAATTAATGGCAATTGAAGTCTAGTGATCAACTTGTCGGTGGGTTGAAAATTCACTGACCTCCCGTGCAATTACCCAATATAGTAAGTTAAATATAATTGAAACAATTCTTAAAAATCTAAATTTTTACATTTATTCTAAGTTCTAATAGTAATGACTCCCATATAAAAAGGTTTTTTGAAAATTCTTTCAATAAATTCTTCCCATGCAACCAGGTGAAATATTTTAATTCTTGACTCCTCAACACGTTCCCAGTCAAATGAAGTCAAAATAATTTGAAATAAGGTTTCACGTAAAACAACATTTAAATGGACTTTCCTTAGAGATGTCAACCAAACACCACATCCTTGTGCCTTTAAGCTTAGCCAAACATGCAAGTCTATAGATATATATTTGTTATATATCTATCATCCTCAATAAAAAGAAAGGATCTTTCGAGGCATAAAGCCTTTTCAAGAATAAATTTTAATTCCCTTTTTAAACAAACTAAAATATATTTCTTCATATAGGAAAGACAGGGATACAAGTTTTTCTTAACAGAAATTTATTTTATATTTATCTGAAAACCTTGCAGTACACTTTTATTCAAGCCAAGTTGAGTCTTCCATAGAAGAACTCAGATTATTTGTTATAATTATTTTTAGTTCATTTATTACAGTGAAATGCTGCCTTCAAGGACAAAAGACCACTCGATAATTGGTTCCTCCTGGACAAGTAAATGTACTGGTTTGATCATCTTTAGGGTAACTATATGCATCGCGGCACCTATCCTTAAAAAACCTAGAATAGTATGTCTCTGAACAGCTCCCTGAGTTGCAACAGTACTGGTCGCTCTTGAACACGGTGCATGCGTTGTTGCAGCCACCAGGCGCCCTCAACTCATTCGGGCATTGACTATTGATGTCAGCGGCGCAATGGATTCCCCGGCTGCACCTGCCGGAGGTGGGACTAAATTCCATTGGCACGTTGAACCCGTCAACAAGAGATATATCGAAGAAGTCTAGGTTATTGTACTGGTTGAGGGCGTATTCGGCTAGGGTGTTAGGTGGTGCACCATAGCCTTGACACTGATATAGTCCATTGCAGTCCCCTGTTTGACAACGACCACGACCGGACCCATCGAAGCTGCAACCTGTTCGAGCCCAAATTCGAGCTGCTGTAGTGCCCGCAGCAACATTAATTCTCCAAGTTTGGCCCCTGCCAAGCTGTCTGCCACCACCGGGTACGGCAGCAGCCCAGACTGTGAACGGACAATTGTTACGAATATCGAATGTGGCTGCATTGGTGCAATGGAAGAAAAGAGCATAAAGAGAGAGAATGAAAATGGAAATGGAGATTGATATGAAGGAGTTCATGTTTAGAACGAAGGACGTTATGCTCATTAAGAGAAGAATTTACTTAGGTATATATAGAGTGAGCATGTAGAAAAAATGGTAAATTTGGTGGAAATTAGGTCAAATATAATTAATGAACTGGTAGAAGTCTTGGTCAAGTAACATATCAAAATAAGAACTCACTTGTTTCATATAAATGGAGGAGTGGAATGTGCCGGCTAGTGGAGTCCTTGGCACCCACAGAACTTTGGGTAATTTTTTTATTTTTAGCTTTCCCCTTNCTTATTTTGATGATCCTCGATACAGAAGAAAGAGTTCGGGCATTACTAAATATGGGACTATAGAAATGCATTCAATCGTCAAAAAAGAGGATTTGATTGAGTATCGAGGAGTCAAGGCATTTAGGCCAAAATACCAAATGAAAGTAGATCGGTTTTTTTTTATTCCCGAGGAAGTGCATATCTTACCCGGATCTTCTTCCATAATGGTACGGAACAATAGTCTCATTGGGGTAGATACACAAATTACTTTAAATATAAGAAGCCGAGTAGGCGGGTTTGTCCGAGTGGAGAGAAAAAAAAAAAGAATTGAACTTAAAATCTTTTCTGGAGATATCCATTTTCCTGGAGAGACCGATAAGATATCTCGACATAGCGGCGTTTTGATACCACCAGGAACAGGAAAACGAAATTCCAAGGAATCCAAAAAATTGAAAAATTGGATCTATGTTCAACGGATCACACCTAGTAAGAAAAAGTATTTTGTTTTGGTTCGACCTGTCGTCACATATGAAATAACGGACGGTATAAATTTAGCAACACTTTTTCCCCCGGATCTGTTGCAGGAAAGGGATAATGTGCAACTTCGAGTTGTCAATTATATCCTTTATGGAAATGGCAAACCAATTCGAGGAATTTCTGAGACAGATATTCAATTAGTTCGGACTTGTTTAGTATTGAATTGGGACCAAGACAAAAAAAAAAGTTCTTCTAGTGAAGAAGCCCGTGCTTCCTTTGTTGAAATAAGGACAAATGGTTTGATTCGACATTTCCTAAGAATCGACTTAGTGAAATCCCCTATTTCATATATCGGAAAAAGGAATGATCCATCGGGTTCAGGATTGCTCTCTGATAATGGATCAGATTGCACCAATATCAATCCGTTTTCTTCCATTTATTCCAAGGCAAGAATTCAACAATCCCTTAACCAAAATAAAGGAACTATTCATACGTTGTTGAATAGAAATACGGGATTCCAATCGTTGATAATTTTGTCATCATCCAATTGTTTTCGAATGGGTCCATTCAACGATGTAATAAAATATCACAATGTGATAAAAGAATCAATTAAAATTACAAAGGATCCTCTAATTCCAATTAAGAATTCGCTGGGGCCTTTTGGAACAGCCCTTCCAATTGCGAATTTTTATTCATTTTACCATTTAATAACTCATAATCAGATCTTGGTAAATAACTATTTGCAACTTGACAATTTAAAACAGACTTTTCAAGTAATTAAATATTATTTAATGGATGAAAATGATAAAATTCAGAACCCCGAGCCAGGCAGTAACATTATATTGAATCCATTCAAATTGAATTGTTATTTTCTCCATCACAATTATTGTCAACATGAGTGTAGAAAAATCCCAGAGACAAGTAGATTTGGAACACGTTCAGTCAGGTGTTGATATTCATTATTCCATAGGTGTAGACACTGGAGTACTATAAATAATTATTTAATCTCATTTAAAGGTTGGAGTCGAGTTGGGTGTCAACATTTGCTTCTTGGGTGTTGATACCTGCAGTCAAAAATCTCTAGTGTACTTTGTAGAAGCTGTAAAACTTGAACAACACAATGCATACATAAAAGCATACTTTTATACAACTATTTAAATCAATCATCTTACATACTTGGAGGTGAGGGCTTTACGGTGGTAAGCCCAAGTTTGATAGCCTTTAAATTAAAACTTTTTTTTTCTACATACTCATTTTCAATCATACATTCTCACAATAAAATATTTTTTTGCGTAAACTCAAAATTTTTCTCTATTTTTTAATCACACATTCTCCAAACTTTCACTATTCAAAACATTGTTTTGATAAATAATGGCCACCAAATAGGGACTAAGCAAAAACTATAACAAAATTTTTCTTGTTGAAAAACTTACAACTTTTAGAAACTAAAGTACCAAAAGGCTATATCTTAGTTACAACAAAACTTCTCTACTCTCCATTGATATACAAGTAAGCCAAATAGTTGGCGTCGTAATGCTCAACATGGTAGTAAGCGTACATATAGCGGTAAAGAATACGGTACTGAACATAATTGCTTCTCGTGATGCAATCTCGAACTTGTCTCTCCATATTATCTTGCAAACTTCTCTCTCCATATTTTCTAGCAAGAAAACACAAAGAACATGAATAATAATTCAATGAGTAACACAAGTATCTCAAGAATAAAAATGATATACACAAGCATAATTGTCAAATCTGACCCGAACAATGCATTGGGTCAATGGGTCAGTGGTTCATCCGGTGATCCGGTGGTTCAACTGGTAGGTCAATTTCTATCAAATATATTATTAATTATTTAATTAAATAATAAAGTTATGATGTTTTCTACTACTAACTAAATTAAACTCATGTTATTTTGTGGAGGAAAGATCAATTTGTAGCCCAAATTATATAAATTCTAGATCATATATAGTGAAATATGCATTTGAAACAATAAAAACAACAATAAGTGATAAAAAAAAAAACTACTTTATTTGGCAAAGTTTACTATCAAACAAATGCATAAAATTTATTTAATAAAAATAAAGCAACATATGAACTAGTTATAGTTACGGTTTCAACTACCAAGCCAATAAAAAATTATCAGTTAATTAATAAATATTGAATATTAATGACTGGTTATTCCATTTTTACAAACAATGTGGAAGTCTTGGTCAAGAAATTCGTTACCTTAGCACAACGTTAGAATAATTAAGTTCTAAATGGACGACACATTTATGTCAAAATTTCCACACACATGAATGGGCTTGACACTTTTTCCTCCCCCTCAAAAGGAGAAAAAGAAAACGTCAAATTGAAAAATCGAATCGAATCCATGATTTAGAAACTATTCGTTTGAGTTGATTTGAAGTTGTAAGCATATCGGTTTGAGTAATGCTATTTAACCGTACTGAGATTACAACACAAGTCTAGGTGACGTTAATGTGACATTAAATGATACATAAAATTAAATAAGTCTTTTAATTACACCTTTCATTTACTCTATCATCTAGCGCCACTTAAATTAAAATTGTAACCCTAGTAGAGCTACATAACTTTACTCTATTCGGTTTTGAGCCGAACCTAAAAAATTTCTAAACCGTTGGTATAGATTTCAATAGATGAAAATTGTTTGGAACTGAACCTTTTTACCTTATTTTATAAAATAAAAGTATAAATTATGTTTCAAAATTAACTTTAAGTACCAATCAAGTAACATATTCGAATATTTCTCGACTCTTTCTAAGAAAATTTTAAATTAACTGCAGTTTCTTCCACTGCTTTAGTGGATTTTTTTTCCCTACTTTTGAATGAAAAAGCCATCTATGATCAGTGATTTCCACAAATGCGAACAAATTTTTTCCACGAGTCACGTTCATTGCATTATAATAAGAAAATTATTAAGGACAATACTATACTATAAATTAATCCAAATCATATCTATTTATGTTAATTTTCTAAACAATAAACCTGCCTTAGAAATCTCGAAGGCCCCCTTCTTACAAATACTTGCGCAGAGTGCAAGGTTTCACATAGTTGAATTATTTGCTAATTTCTATAATTGATTTGAACGTCAAATTGATATGTTTAGCTTTCGAATATAAATTGTTTACATGGTTATCGAGTCTACTGCAACATTTATGCTTAGAAAATCCAAATTTAGACTGACTAATTTATGTTTTAACTTCTAGGCATTGTTTGAACTTGTTACATTACACCATATATTTTTATTCGTTACACTAAGTTTTAATTATATTGAAAGTCTCATGCTTTTTCATCGTCGTGCACACGTACCAATTTTTTTTTTAATTGTTTTTTCATATTCAGTCTTACATTATAATTAGCACATTTTGCACATCATAACAATTTCCCTTCAAAAAGTTTATTCAGAGGGCATAAAAAGGCTTATATGTCTCTCATATCTTTAAAAGAAGGATAAAAAAAATAAAAAAATACAAAAGGGCAACAAAATTTTTATCTTTCATATCAAAAAATGCTAACAAAATATTTGAACATAAATCATCATCAATAACCACAAGTGCTAATTACTTCTACAGACTTTAAATTAGGCCCTATTTGGGAGAAATTTTAATCAGGATTTTAATCAGAAATCTAGCCGTTAACTATCAAATCAGCCACAATTTTTGACCTTCCCTCTCACAGGTGGAGTCCACGGGTTGACTTTAACGGCTATAATTTTGATTAAAATCCCACNAGGTGGAGCCCACGGGTTGACTTTAACGGCTATAAATTTTGATTAAAATCCCACAAAAATTTCTCCCAAACACACTCTTAAATTAATAGTTATTACCATTCAGTAAGTTTAAATGTTAAGTATTGGAACAATAATAGATAAACTTTCTTAATTTTGAATGTTTCAAAAGTAAAATGGTGTAAAATTACTTATTTTTTTCATCGTTTTCTTAAAAAAAAAAGTATGAATAAATATTTTTTTTCTCATTTCAAAACATGAAAATAACATATTTTTATATAAATCATCATCAAGGATGAGACGTATTCATTAATGGAAAGTTGAAGATAGAATTTTGTGGAAAAAAGTTAATGAAATAATTGTGATGACAATATAATCACAATTTAATTAATTAACACACATCATTTGAATTAGAGTTTTGAAAAATAAAAGAAATAAGCTTTCCCGCTACGAATATTCTTGACCAATAGTTTTGGAAAAAAATAATATCAACCGATAATTTAAGTTAATCTATTTTAGATTATTTAATTATA